TGTCCTAGCGCCCGCGCATAAAACAGATCGGCCGCAACCAGCTCATGGAATCAATAAGCGCGGGCCCATCCTGGACGAGAGCAAGATTCACAGCTGGAACGCCTGGAATGTTTGGACACCCACTGAACAACATCTGGCTTCGCCCTTCCGACTTTCAGGGCACGAACAAAATGCCCCTGGCGGGGGTGCCCGAGATCCACGTGTAACTTCAAGATTTCGCCCTGGTTCCCCCTGGAAACATTGGCCTCGGGCTCCTCGAGCCCCCGCGGTTCCCTGGGTCCCCGGGTCTCCTGTTCGTCCTCAGACTCACTATACTCTCTCTTCTGGGCCTCAGGGTCGGCGAGAGGGTCGACGTCAACTGTCGCGAAAGAGGACTTTGGCTGGTCCGCAAAGATCGCCAGCTCGACGCCCTCGGCCCGTCTGGGCCGTCTGAGCCGCCCGTCCCTCTCTCCCTACTGTCCTCGCCCCGGGCGTTCGGCTTCTTCACGTGGAACTCCGCGTAGCCGAACTAATAGTCCGGCACGCGTGCGTGGTCCCGGGGGTCGTTCCAGTCGCGCTCGAAGAAATGCTCGATCCAGATGCCCTGGTCATCTCGGAACTTGCAGCAGGTCGCCCTCATGGCGGTGAGCTGATCGATCGAGATCGCACAAGATCACGCCTCTGACGCACGCGCAGGAAGCGCAATTTGCCCCCTGCCTTCCGCCAGAAGTCCGCGTCGTCGGCCCCCTTGGCCATCAGGGCGGGCGCCGAGAAGTCCTTGGTCGTGAAACTCGGAAGCTTCTTCTGGACCCCTGGACTCAGAGCGAACTTCGGCGCGTTGATGACGGCCCCCAGGTTCCCAGGAAGTCCAGAAATCCGACTGGAATCAGCAGGGGGCAAGCATGAGGAAGCACCAGAAACTCAAGAATCCCGCACCTACAGAACGACACTGAAACCGAGGCTCTCGCAATCGGCTTGATTCCACCACCGACTCCGTTCGCGCAAGGTAGGTCATCATCGTAGCTGGCATTGATAGCATAGCCCTTCTCCTGGAAAGCCCGCACCTCATGCTCGAGGTCGGGCATGCCGACGAGCGCCCGGGCGGCCGCTGCGTCGACCAGCACGTGATCTGCCTCCTCGCGAAGGGGGACCCCCACGAACATGTCCGGCTTGATCTGACCCATCGCGTCGCTCGGCTGCTCCAGGAAGGCGGCGCACGAGGCCGACGAGGAATCGAACGCGTCGAAGGAAAAGAAATACGCTTCTGAACTGGCTAGGGCCGGCTCTCCGGAGCCGGACCCCGACGTCTTGCTCTTAATCCCATCGGCCCTGGAGCGGCAGGGTTTGCGACAGCCCCCCCCCGGCGCACCCTTCTCGCCGCAGTTGGTACAACGCGTGCGCTTCTGCAAGTCATCCTTGCTGATGCGCCTGCGGTCTGGAGTAGCATTGCCTCTCTTGTGGTCGAAAAAGTTCGGGTCTACCTTGCGCGCCGCCTTCAACATCTTCGCATCCTTCCAAGTCTTGCGGCGCCTGGGCTCTGCGGTCTCGGCGAACACTTGATAAGCCTCGTCCTCGTAGTAGTCTTCCGTCTCGACGGTCGTGAGAAGCATGGCGGCTTCTTCTCCTGTGAACTCCACATCGTACAGAGTCATCTGGAACTCGTCCTCGCATGCCCCGCACTCGGTCTCATCTGGCACGGCGGCAAAACTCTTGCTCGAAGTAAGTTGACTCCGGGGGAGCACCGGCTTGTCCACTATGCCCAGCTGCAGAAGCGAACGACGGACAGAGGCGCTGGACTGATCCCCGGCCATGAGAGTGCGCAAATTGACCTTCATCTGTCCTGACAACTGACATCCCCCCTCATAGAATCGGGCCTTGACGTTGTCTGGAAAGGATAGCCCAAGCAGCTCAGCCTGTGCCATCTGCGCATCACGACGCACCACGTACTCCGTGAGAGTCTCGCCCTTCCTTACTGAAAGAATGCAGCTGATTGAGCCTCCCTCTCGCGGTATCCCGGCTCTTCCCCAATCAGTAACTGGAGATGCTCGATCAGCTTCTTCACTTCCTGATCCGTGTCTAGCGTCGCACGATTGGCTTTGAACTTGCTTTGCAGTTCCACTGGGTACCCCTCGAGAATATTGGACGCCTGGGCGTCTGGCTGAAAGCCAGTTCGCTTGGTCCAGGCTTCGATGTTGGCGACGTATACCTCGAGGTGTTCCAAACCGAGGAACTACTGGCACGGGCCGTAGCCTCTACTTCTCTCTGGTGGGGGCTTGACGTCGGCTCGTCACCACTCCAAGCCCTCGTCCTGCCCTCGATCGAGACCATCATTCTGCCACTGATCGGCCCTCCCTGGCCACCATCTCGATGTACTCCACTAATCCGTTGAAGCTCCCCCTCCTGAGTAGTGGTGACGTACCACTCCTGCTCCTCCCAATGCTCGCACTGCGTCTGAGCGTCCGTGGTTCCTCCAGCTCGTACCTCCTCATCTCGCGGTTCACCTCCTGTGTCGTCGTCATCGCCCCTGGCCATCACGAAACTGTGACACCAGCCGTCGGCGTCCTCGTACCTGTCCGATGCCTGCCCTCCAGATTCGACAACCACGCTCCGGCTACCATTGAAATTGGCTCGAAAGAAGAAGGAGGACATCAAGTTATCACAGAGGGGCACCATCGACTACATGTCGCTATCCGTGCCTGGCCCAGGCAGGGCGCGTAAAGCCTAAAAGGCAACGGGAAACCCAAAGAGAAAGGAGGAGAAGAGGAAAGAGACATCAATGGGCCGAAGGTCATTTGATATCTGTTCGAACTTGTAGAAAGGCGCCCTTGCATCCTGCACGTGTTGTCCCTTTCTATGTGTTCCTTCCTTGCTGTCCTTGCGATGTGACACTGTTGTTGTCCTCCTCAGCGCTAGCATTATCCATGATCGTCCCTGAATGATACCTCCGATGCTTACCCTCGAAATCCCTCCAGTAGAGCGCTCAGTCTTCCAACTCCTCTGATTCCCCTCTTGCCCCCCATACCCCTTCCCTTGTCTCTGGACGGGGGGGGGCCGCGAGCGGACAAAGTGTTCAAGATTGCCTCAGATGCCCCCCAGGAGGGCACATATCAAAAGATGAACTCCAAGGTATCCAAAGATAGCCCGGGATGGCTCAATATGGTTCCCGGCATGCCCAAAAAAGGTCCCAGGACCGTCCCACAACTGCGGCCAATGGCCACGGAGCCTCCGAAGGAGATCCCGGATGTGCAACTATCGTCCAAAAACATTGCATTGTGCTCCTTCACTCCTTTTTGCCTTATCGGCGTTGGGCCTCTTGTTGGCGTGCGAGGCCTCAAGATGGCTCCAAGAAGGCCCAAGAGGCCCCGAGCGGGGTGGCATGAGAGCTCCAAGACGGCCCCAAAGCGGCCACTAGAGCCCCAAGAGCGTCCCAAGACGGCCCCAAGATGGTCCCAAGAAGTCAGCTTTCTGGCTGATTAGGGGCGACGCTAATTTTGACCCCTCCCCCACCTATTTTAATTGATGGCCTCAAAGATGGCCCCAAGAGGGCCCGAAGCACCAACCAGGGCCCCAAGAGACCCACCAAGAGGGTCTCAAAGGCCCTAAGTTTCAGCCTTGCGACCATACTCCCCCCGGGACCCAAAGACTTTGATTTCTCTTAAGGTGCTGAAGGAGTCGTGTAAATAACGACCTCCAATCTCTAGTCGGCATTGTTAATGGTTAAGACTAAGACGGTATCTGATCGTCTCCGATCCCCTAACTGTTGTTCTTGATCAATGAAAACATCCTTGGCAAATGCTTCCGCTGTAGTCCGTCTTTAACCAATCCAAGAGTTTCACCTCTGACAGTTGTTACATACGAATGCTGCCAAATCATTACCTCAACTCTAGAAACCAACAAAATAGAACCGAGGTCCTATCTAACTGTTCCGTGCTAATGTATTCAAGGAGTAAGCCTGCTTGAAACATTCCAATTTCCTCAAAGTGCAAATCCTGGATACCGCACCACACAGTCAAGTGTAGATGCCCAGGCCGAGCCAGATACTCACCCAGAGGGCGGGCTTGAATCGTCGTCGTCGTCGTCGCCATTGCCTTTCTCCCCGATCCTTATCTTCCTCCTCCTGCTCCTCGTCTTCCTCCGGTTCCTCCCACCTCCCCCATCCTCTCCTGCTACTCCTCCTCGTCGTCGTCAACCGTCCTCCTCCTCCTCCTTATTATTATTCTCCTCCTCCTCCTCATCCCCCCCCCTGCTCCTTCTCCTCCACCTCGGGTTTCCCAGAAGCTGAGTGGGAACGCCTTCCGCCAAACATATTGTTCCTTCTGATCACATTATTCCTCCTCCCTCATCATATCTCCTCCTTTCTTTCATCCTCCTCCTTCTGCTGCCACCTCTTCATCCTTCATGTCCTCCTCTTCGTCAACTAGCAGGGCCGAGGTGGCATGCATGATCCAGGCTCGCGCGCCCAGGGCCCCCCCCCAAAGATGGGATGGGTCCCAGGGTTCCACGCACACACACACACACACACACACACACACACACACATGCACACACACACACACCAGATGGGATGGGGGGTGGCGACGACAACGACGAAAACGACGACGACGCCGACGCCGACGCCGACGACGACGACGACGACATCGACAACACGACGACATCGACGCCGACGCCGACGCCCCACACCCACAGGCCACACCCAGGGGGGGGGACGCATCGCGCGCGGGGGGGGGGGCGATGGCATTAGCTTGAGTGGTGGGGGTCAGACCCTGGATCATACATGGTTCACTCCAGTGTCTGCTCAGGCTGATCCGCAGCTTCCCATTGACAGCTTCCCCCCTCTTCGTCGACCTGCCTGCGCCTGCGCTTCTCTCACCAAGTCAACTCACCTCGGCATCGTCTCTGGATGCGCTGATGAGGATACGCGAAGCGTCACAAATCTTCGCTCGCGCGCCGCCAAAGTTACAGAAAGCCGCAGCGGATGTCGGGGAAATCAAGTGTGTCTGCGTCTTCCTTTCTCACCTGACCTTCGAGCGGATCTGGAGTCGTAGCCGCCGCTGGAGTCGGAGCCGGAGTGGGAGCCCGAGTTGGAGCAGGAGTCGGATTCGCAGTCGGAGCCGGAGTCGAAGCAAAAGAGGCCTCGAAGTCAGAACGGATCACGTAGTAGTCCGAGCCCCACGGGTCGTAAGCGGCCAGCCTTTCGCTCAATCCGACATGCCACTCCGGGAAAACCAGGCTGCTCACAGCAACCTCGTCGAGGATCTCGGTGTGAACTGCCATCGCAGCATTGACCCTCTCGTTGTTTGCGTGTCCAGCGAGGGCGAGGGCGTCGAGAAGGCTGTCGACCGTGCTCGAGTTGATTCCCGCGTAGTTGCGGCTGTCCATGGGATCTCCGCGGAAGAAGGCGTTGAGGAACCACTGCGGGTCTCCGTTTGGCAGTGTGTGCTGGGCCCACATCAGGAGGTCGTAGTCATTGTCGGCCAGGATGGCTGCGTAGGCATCTTCCCAGAGACAGACGTCCCCTCCATTCACAGTGATGCCCAGGGACTCGAGCGATGCCTGGATCAGCGGCCTCATGGTCCCGAGGTCTGGGCGGAACGGGTAGGAATAAAGGGTCAGGCTCAGCTCGATTCCGTTCTTCATTCGTTTGCCGTTCTCGAGGAGCCACCCCGCGTTTGTGAGGAGGTCCTCGGCCGCGCTCTGGTCTTCCTGCAGCGTACCAGAAGCGTCTGGCTTCAAGTACGGGGTGTCCTCAAGGAACAGGCTGCGGGTTTCATCGCCGCCTTGCAGCGCCTGCCTCAGGGCCTTGCGGTCAATGATCAGGTCCACCGCCTGACGCACATTGAGATCCGACAGAGGCGACGTGCTACGCGTGTTGTGGAACATCATGTACAGGTAGCCCACGTCGAAAGATTTGGTGGTGACGCCCTCGACCGCGTCCACCTCTGCCAGCGAGTCGATCGGGAGGTGGAAGGCCATGTCCACCTGCTTGGCCTTAAGCGCGTCGGCCAACGCGTCTCCGCTCGAATATTTCTTGATGGTCACCGGGAGCGTTGGGCCATCCGTGTAATACGCGTTGGGGGCGAGTTGGATGGTGTCCCCCGGCGTCATGCTCTCGACCATGTAAGGACCGCTGTAAATGTAATTGTCGCCGCTCTTGAGGAAAATCCGCCAGCCCCCCTGGCCACCAGGCTGTTGAAGCATCGGTTTGAGCATCACGTCGCTGCGACACCATACTGCATCAAGTTGATTGTAGCTGGCTCCTGCACGACAGTTTCAATGTTGTCAGACCCGTGCAAATGGAGACTCTCAAAAAAAGATTACCCCAGAACGGGTGCATCAGCCCCAGGCCACCCCCGAGATCGGTTTTTCTTAAATCCACAAAAAAACAAACGTCACAACCAAATGCTTTAATTGCTGTAGTAGAAGAAGTAGCCAGAGTATGCGTTGTGGTTATTGTTATATCCGCTCCTACCTACCCCCTCGAAAATCCCACCAGCCCTCTGGGCGTCGGTGGTTTAGAGAGTTTCCTTTTCCACCCCTCCTTCTTCCCCTTCGGGGAGGGGTTATCACTGCTCCCTATTAATATACACCCCCTCCCCCCCCCAGGCGACTGGGAGCCAACCAGGGTCAATGCGGGCACCCCCCCACCATCCCTTGTAAAAAACCATACAAAACACACTCTGCCTCCAAATTCGAAGCATGCGCAACGAACCCGATGCGGCCTCCTCCCACCATTCCTGTCAAAAAACAATACAGAGTAAGTACACTAGGCGGCGGCGGCGGCGGCGGCTGCGGCGGCTGCGGCGGGAGCAGCGGCTGCGGCGGCTGCGGCGGTGGCGGCGGCGGTGGCGGCGGCGGCGGGGGCGGCGGCGGCGGCGGCGGCGGTGGCGGCGGCGGCGGCGACGGCAACGGTGGCGGCAGCGGCTGCGCCGGCAGCGGCTGCGCCGGCAGCGGCTGCGGCGGCGGCGATTCGGCAGCGGCGGCGGCGGCGGCGGCGGAGAAGGCGGCGGAGGCGGCGGATTCGCCCCCAGTACCTGCCCATCCAAAGACGACTGATGAATATGCTGCGGCTCGGGCCAGGCTCGGATGCTACGTATGTGTTGGACGGGCGGGTGGGAGTGAGCGAGACGGCTTGCGGGCGGGGAGGGGGTAGCTTGATCACTGTTCCCTATTAATAAACACCCGCTCCCCCAGGCGTCTGGGGGCCAACCCAGGTCCATGACGACACCCCCCCACAATCCCTTGTAAAAAAACAATACAAACACACACTCTGCGTCCAAATTCGGAACATGCGCAGCCAACCCGATGCGCCCCCCCCCACCATCCCTGTCAAAAAACAATACAGAGTACACTTGGCGGAGGCGCGGCGGCTGCGGCGGCGGCTGCGGCGGCGGCGGCGGCGCTGCGGCGGCTGCGGCGGCGGCGGCGGTGGCGGCGGTGGCGGCGGCGGCGGCGGCGGCGGCGAACAGCGGCGGCGGCGGCGGCGGCGGCGGCGGCGGCGGCGGCGGCGCGGCGGCGGATTGGCCCCCAGTAGCTACCCATCCAAAGACGACTGCTGAATATGCTGAGGCTCGGGCCAGACTCGGGTGCTACGTATGTGTTGGGAGGGCGGGTGGGAGTGAGCGAGACGGCTTGCGGGCGGGGAGGGCGCCTTGACCCCTCCCCCGACCCCCTCCCCATGGACCTGGAGGGGGGGGTCGCGAGTCGCCAGGGCGTCCAAAACGGCCTCGGCGTGGAAGCCAAAATCATTGTTTTTACTATGGTTTTGGCCCCATTTTGGCCTCCCGGGGGGGGACCCAAATTGACGCTCCCCTCATGTTTGATCGATCTCCTCCAAGATGGCCCCAAGAAGCGCCCAGGAGGCCCCAAGAGGTCCCAAGATGGCCCCAAGATGGCCCCAAGAGGCGGCCCCCAAGAGGCCCCCAGGAGGCCCCCTAGAGACCCCCAAGAGGCCCCAAGAGACCCCCCAGAGGCACCCAACATGCTCCAAGAGGCCTCGGCGAGAATGTCAAAACGGCCTCAGCGAGGAAGCCAAAATCATTGGTTTTACTAGGGCTTTGGCCCCATTTTGGCCTCCTGGGGGGGACGCTAATTACTGATCCCCCCTTGTTTGATCGATCTCATCCAAGATGGCCCCAAGAAGCGCCCAGGAGGCCCCAAGAGGTCACAGGCTGGCCCCAAGATGGCCCCAAGAGGCGGCCCCCAAGAGGCCCCCAGGAGGCCCCCAAGAGACCTCCAAGAGGCCCCAAGAGACCCCCCAGAGGCACCCAACATGCTCCAAGAGGCCTCGGCGAGAATGCCAAAACGGCCTCAGCGAGGAAGCCAAAATCATTGATTTGACTAAGGTTTTGGCCCCATCTTGGCCTCCTGGGGGGGAGGGGGGGGGACGCTAATTAATGCTCCCCTCTTGTTTGATCGATCTCCTCCAAGATGGCCCAAAGAAGCGCCCAGGAGGCCCCAAGAGGTCCCAAGATGGCCCCAAGATGGCCCCAAGATGGCCCCAAGAGGCCCCCGAGAGGCCCCCAGGAGGCCCCCAAGAGACCCCGAAGAGGCCCCAAGAGACCCCCCCAGGGGCACCCAAGATGCTCCAAGAGATCATTGATGTCACGAACGTTTTAGCCACATGTTGGCCTCTTGAGGGGGAGAACTGACTAAGATGACTCCAAGAGCGCCTGGGAGAGCCCAAGATGACCTCCAAAATGACTCAAGGAATACTAAGATGTCTCATAATGGCTTCCTTTGTGTGCTGCCCAGTTCCCTGATTCAGGCAATTCCTCTGGGCATCGTTTCTGGATGGGCTGGTGGGGATTCGCGAAGCGTCAACAATATCCCATCCTGCCGCCCCTCTCCCATCTCTCTTTCTTCATTTCTCTTGCCTCCTCCCTCCGTCTCCTTCTCCTCCCCCTCCTCCTCCTCCTCCTCCAGCTCGTCCTCCTCCTCATCCTCCTCCTCCTCCTCCTGCTCCTCCTCCTCCTCCTCCTCGTCCTCCTTTTGACGTTGGTCGGACTTCAAGCACGGGGCTCGCAGCTTTTTTTCCTCCTCCTCCTCCTCCTCCTCCTCCTCCATTATCCTCCTCCTCCTCCCTCCTCCTCCTCATCATCGTCGCTGCCGGGCGCCCACATGAGGCCGCCACGGCCGCCATCGCTCAAAAGCGTCCAATCGCGCGCGACAGAAGGGGTGGCGCGCGGGGAGGAGAACGAGTTCTTGTTGTTTAATTCGCCCACCGGTTTTGAGGCACCCACGGCAATAACAACCAACGGCGCCGCGGGGAGGATTTTCAAATCGAACACCTCCACCACGTGCGCCCAGGTATTCATCCTCCAAGGGGAGCCGGCGGTAGAGGCGAGGCCCTAGGATCACGAAGACCCAATTAGCGAGGGCAGCGTCCATCGCGGGGTGGGCAATGGTGGACACGATCTGGATTGTGCTGTCGTTCACCTTCGTGACAGTCATCTCGCCCAGCGCGTCATTCCCATTGGGGTTCTCCGCGTTCTGCGTCGTGAGGGCGGTCACGACGTGCTCGGCAAGGACCGCCTGGCCGTCGGAGAACGTCTTGCCCCCGGCGAGGGTCACCGTCCAAGTGTACGTATCAATTCTTGTCACCGTCTCCGCCATCTGCGGCACGACCTGGCCCGACAACGACGACGATGACGACGACGACGACGACGACGACGACGACGGCGACGACTACGACGACGACGACCACGTCGACGACCACGTCGACGACGACGACGAAGACGACGACGAAGACGATGACCACCACGACGACGACCACCACGACGACGACGACGACGACGACGACGACAACGATGACAACGACAACGACGACGACACTACCTGGCCCATCTTGTCAACCGTGAAGAGCTTCTCGGCGATGCCGTGACTGACGAGCGACCACGGTGTACTGCCATCGGTCGGGTCCAGGCTCGAGGCCATACCTGTCAGCCCGACGACGACGGGCGCCGCGGAGGCCGCAGGCAAGAGCGTGGCGATGCACAGCAGCGGGCCGGCCATGCTGCCGAGTGCCAGGAGAGCAGGAGACCGGCTGCAGTGTCCCAGTGGCAGTTTCAAAGCACGCCTGTAGAAAGCTGGATCGGCAAAGAGTCTGCGGAAGAGCACCGACCATTGCGAACAACCGACGCTCTGCACGCCAGGAGCTAATGCCACCCACCTCATAGACTTCTTCTCGGACGATGAGGAGGTTGTTTGGGAACAGGGAAGAGGGTGGGTGCAGCGTTCGGTTTGCCATTGACGTCAGATCGGGTTCGCAACCAATTCATCGATCGATCTCGACATCTATTCACCAATCCTACTGATTATCGGCCTCACTCTCTGTTCATCGGCACCGCTATTTATACGTGTATGTATATCCGCCACCGTGCCTCGAGGCACGAGTTGGAGAGTGCTCAGGTCCTCGGGATCCTCTGCACTCACGGCTGGAATCTGTGTTAGGGGAAGGGGGCCCCCAATCTCGGATTTCTTGGGCTCGCGCGAGTGAGCTCGCGTACCTCCCGGGTGGTCTCGCGTGACTTTGCTCGAGGGCGCCAGGACGGGCCGAGAGCGCCCCAAGAGACGGAAAGAACGCGATCTCGAATACCTCTGCCATCGCTTGGCGGCCAAAAAAAAAACATCCTCCAGGAAACCCGGGAGGCAAACATTCCCCAGGAGCTTCCCCGGAAGCGGCGGGGGCGGAGGCCACCGGAAACCGAAGGGGAGCGCAGAACCGTCCCGCCCCGCCCCAGTTCGAACGGGGGAGCAGTGGGGGGGGGCAGCAGGCTCGAAAAGGATCGGTCCAGCTTTGATCGAATCCTGCCACTGGGGCTGAATCCAACTCTCATGAAATCCCACTATGGCTCGATCAAGCTCGAATCGAATCCGACAAAGGCTCGATCCAGCTCTCATAGAATCCCATTAGGGCTGGTCCAGCTCTGGTGGAATCCTACACAGGCTCGATCCAGCTCTCATCGAATCCTGCTTCTTGGGCTGGATCCAGCTAAATAGAATCCTACCAAGGCCCGATCCAACCACCTAATAGGACCCTACCACGGGCTGGACTCAGCTCAATCAGGATCCTAGAAAGAATCGATCCAACTCTAGTCGGATCCTACTATGGTCTGGATGCAGTTCTGACAGAATCCTATTAGAGCTCGACCCTACCTTAATACAGCCCTACTAGGGCTCGACTCAGCTTTAATCCGCCACCGCGCCTCTGAGCACTGAGCGGGCGTGTCCTCAGGTCCTTTGCCCAATCCCCTGAGCCTCAATCCTCACTCATGAGGAGTACGTCTTGTAGTGGACCGGAGCCCAATTTCACAAATCTCACAGGGCTTGCCGCGGTTCCCTTGGGCTCCGGCGAGTGTTGTGGCATGACTTTTCGCGACCCTCGACGGCCCTAAGACGGGCCAAGAGCACCCCTAGAGGCGTCCGAGAGCGCCCTGAGACACCCAAAGATCGCTCCAAGACGCCCAAGACGGCCCCACGACGGCCACAGAGGCCGCCAAGGCGGCTCAAGAGGTCTCCCCAGAAGGTCCCAGAGGCATCAATCATTGTTTTTCCCAGCGGTTTGAAGGTTTTTGGTCATCTCGCCTTTTCGGCTTCCCGACGCTCCCAGACGGCCCAAGAGGCCCCCAGGATCGCCCCCAAGACGGCCCAAAAGGGCTCCAGAACGAACCAAAAGTACCCCAAGACATCCCAAGAGGCGCCCAAGACGGTCCAAGAGGGCCCAAAGACGGCCCCAAAAGGAGCCCCAAAGAGGGAACACGAACCAAAAATCCAAGCCTTCCGGCCCCAGAGGCCCCCAGGAGGCCCCAAGAGGCGCCCAAGAGAGGAGGGCCCAACAAGAGGCCCCCAAGAGGCCCCCAAGAGGCCCCAAGAGGCCCCTAAGAGGCCCCAAAGGGGCCTCAAGAGGCCCCCTAACGGCCCCAAAGAGGCGCCCAACCTGCCTCCAAGAGGCCCCCGAGAAGCCTCCCACGAGATCCCAACGAACATCCAATATCCTTCATCCCCACAACCCAGGCACAGTGGCGGGAGGGGCCGAAGGCCGTTAGATAGCACCCAACTAGCGCTCTGTAGTCGTCGTCGTCGTCGACATCGCGGTCGCCGCCGCCGCCGCCGCCGCCGCCGCAGCCGCAGCCGCCGCCGCCGCCGCCACCGCCGCCGCCGCCGTCGTCGTCGTCGTCGTCGTCGTCGTCGTCATCGTCGCCGGCGTCGTCGTCCTTGGCGGAGCCCCTCCCCCGGGTTCGCACCGAGGGGAGGGGGGGGTCCCCCCCTCCCCACCCTACCCCGGTCCGAACCCCCGGGAACGGGAAAGGGGGTGGGCCCTCTGAACCTCCTCCCCCCCCCGTCCGCACGGCTCGAATCGGGGTGGCGATAGGTCCGCCCACCCCCGGTTCAGAGTGGTGTTTTGCCAGTGACGGCAGAAAGCGCTCTTTCGAGAAACCTCAAGACGGCTCGAGAAGCCCTCGAGACGCCCCAAGAGTGCACGTCCGCGAGGGCCCCTAGAGGCCAAATCCTGGATGTTCCTTCACTGTTTGGCCGGTCTTAGCGCTCTCGCCTGTTCGGCATGTCGACGCTCCAAGACGGCCCAAGAAGCCCCCTGGAGGAATCAGGACGGCCCAAGAAGGCCCCAAGACGGCACAAGAGGCCTCCAAGACAGCCCAAGAGCGCCCCAAGAGGGACCCAAGAAGAGCGCAAGAGGGTGAGCGCGGACTGCCATTTCGAGCCGTCCAGCCCATGAGGAACCCCGAGACCGCCATCAGGCGCCTGAGAGGCGCCCAAGAGACCCCATGAAGCCCCAAAGAGACCCAAAAGAGATCCTAAGAGGCCCCAAGGAGGCCTCCAACTGGCTCCAAGAGGTCTCTGAGCGGCTCCCAAGAAGACCCCAGCAGGCATCCATGAAGCCTCTGGCCCACAACCCAGGCACGGTGGCGGGGAGGCGCTTGCGCACAGGATGAGGACGGCAAGCAGGGTGGTGCTGTCAAATATGCGGAGGGCGACTGTCTCCTCACCAGTGATACACTTCCCCCTCAACATCATGGATGGGGAGAAGGCAGAATAAAGTATAGGCAAACAGGGCAACACGATAGAGACTTACCGCTGCCCTGATACGCTTGCAACGGTGCCAGAGCCACGAGCTAGCCTAACTCCAAACTCCTCGCTTGTTTAAATCACCGCTTTTAGCTCGTTCGTCTTGAGGCAATCGTCGCCTGATGATCGGAACCAACTTGTTAAAGAAACACATCTCTGCCGCTGCGATGCGTCACCTTAGAAACTGTTGGATCGGCCGCGTGGAGAAAGAGGTTACGCCGCGGTGTCTTGCCATACTCATCCTTGTCGTTCCTTCACGTCCTACTACCTTTACTGCAGCCTGACGTGTAAAGCACGCAAGAGACAAAACGTGAGCGCAGCATGACGATGGCTGACAGGCAAGCCGAACAATCGTGGCGAGTGAAACAGAAAGACGCAAGCAGGGCAAATCGAACCCCATGGACTCGAACACGTTCGATGGCGTCCAGCCTTCAACATCCTCTGGCTGTGCGATCTTGTCTTCAAAATATTGTCCTCCACTGCCCTCGCGAAGTCTACCCAACTGCCTACTCTCAAGGAGATGCCGAGATACGTAGTTGACCAAGTTCAGACTGCGCATGTAATGCCGCTGACAATGTGAACACATTCTGGGATGTGTCCGTGGCGCCAGGAATATCTGGCCCCCGGCGCCCTCATCAGTCAGGTTCCGCGGGGCAGGAGTAAGAGGACGAAGAGGACGAAGAGGACGAAGAGGAAGGGGAAGCAGCGCTGAGAAAAGGCGCACACGTCCAAATCATCAGCATAATCAGCAGCATCATCATCATCATCATCATCATCATCATCATCATCATCATCATCATCATCATCAGCATCAGCATCATCATCATCAGCAGCAGAATCAGCATCAACATGATCAGCATCGTCATCAGCATCATAATCATAATCAGCATCATCAGCATCATAGAGCATTATCATCATCAGCATCATCATCACCATCATCATGAACAGCGTCATCCTCAGCAGCAACAGCATCATCATCAGCAGAACCACCATCATCATCATCATCATCACCATCATCATCAGCATCATCATCACCCGCATCGGATCCCTTTCTGGACACCTCCACAATCTCCTCCTCTGCCCCCCCTCGCCCATTGCGACCACATTCACCCCATGCAGAAATTGAGTCCGCAAGGTCCACTCCGACAACCGTAACAGTTGCTGAGGAGAAGGCAATGATGCATGAGGATGAAGGGCAGGAGCAGGGGTGAGGAGGCAGGATGGGTGTTCATGGAGGAAAGAGAGGGGGAGGGAGAGGAGGACAGTGTGGGAAGAGAACGAGTGAGGGGGGGGAAGCGGGAGAGGTTCCGTTCCGTAATCTGCAAACTCTTCCTCAGCCTCGTTACCTTCCTCCCCGCTTCCAGCTCGTTCTCATCCATCAGCCCGCCTGCTCATCCTCATACACCCCCGTTTCATCCTTCTCCCTCCTCCCTCCTCCTCCTCCTCCTCCTCCTCCTCCTCCTCCT